AAATGCTATGCGAATTCTTATACGTTCTTTTCCTCTCTCCTTCTCTCTCTCTCTCTCTCTCTCTCTCTCTCTCTCTCTCTTTCTCTTCTTTTTTGTTGTTTCGCGCTAACGACGGATCTGTTTTGTTTGCCATTCGAGTTTACACGATTCAGTCCGTACATATTTGGGAGTTTATATTTTTCGAATTTTTATACCGGTGAAAGTTTCCTGCTCGCGGATTTAATTCTCGCTCGGGTTTGTATCTCGTCAAAATCCCTTCCTCCCCTTTACCCCGCCTTCCTCTCCGTATCTTTTCCTATTTTTCACTCCCCCCTCATACCCTTCGATAAGTCGCGCCAGCAATGAAGACAAATTGTCGGCGTCCCGCAGTTTTACGGAGACAGTAATTAATTGCCGGCCGCGTAACGACGCCGCTCCGACTATTGACACGCGTCGATTTTTAGATAGTTCTCTATTACGCTCCTCTCTAATGCAATACCCCTTATTATTAATTAATATCGCACGGGAGTAATCGTGCAATAACGGTTTTAGCAATAATAACAGCAAACAGAGGATAGTGAATAATTAAGTATTAGCAATAGTAATAATTAAATGACATGGATAGTAGATCGTACTATTTATACTTTACTGACAGAGATGATGCAGCAAATTATGATAATTAATTACGTCACAATTTAAGTATAACTAATATTATAACTAATTATGTATTCGACACAACACGTGTAGGATATGTATTAATTTGTTGATTGCGTTACGCTACGCTACGATACACATATAAGCAATTATTTTTGTACGTACGTTTTGTATTATATATAACATATAACATATAACATGTATAATATATAACATATAGCAATAACATACATTGAACATTGAACATCGAAAATTGATTAGCCTTAATTCGGCTGGAGGGAGGAAATTTAGTGGAGCAACGAGCTCCCTTATCGAAATGCCATTCAGCAGTCACCGCTTAATTCGATGACGCTATCGAGTTCATCGTCATCAGTCATCATCATACGGTTATTGTGAACCGAAGTGACACTTGTCAAGAAGAAGAGACTCAAAGTTCCCCAGCTTCCGTACTTTTGCCTCCTTCAGAACGAATTTCACATGATGACGAGGATAATAAGGACTCGTTAGTCACGTGGAATCAGCGACATACCGCCACGCAGAAAGCACGCTCGTTTGCCGACTTTTTCCTACCTTGATTGCGTTCGCTTCAACTCTCTTTTCGGGACGTTTCAAAAAAATGAGGCACGACGAAATAACGTAAATTACAATTACAAATGACGGAGAAACAAGCGTCATTAAAGCGCATCGTCATTAAAACCATCGATTTAGGTATGATTATACATCGATGTAAATTGATACAACGGTAAATCGAAAGTACAAATTTTCAGATTTTCAACATAACTTCTCCTTTTGGCTAAACGTAAATCTGCATTCTGACGTTCGAGGATTAAATGACTGGTATAAATGGAAAAATTATTATATAGCCGCTTATAAAGCTTTCAATTATAAAATTCATTTACTCTGTTTTGCAAAACCACACGGTGAATCGTAAAGCAGCGATTCAATTTAGCTCATGACCGAAATAAAAATTAATGACGGGTTTTAATTTCAAAAATCCACTGTAATTCTCGAGAAAGGACACGTACATTGCGAATAACAATAAAACATAAATCGTGCGGCTTCGTGTTTCAGGAATCAAGTCCCCCCCGTAGTTAAGACCCATCACTTATCGACGGGGTCTCGCAAGCAAAAATCGCGGTGGGACACCCGAAGGGTGCCAAGATTTACGAGGGACGCCGCTGGTTTGTACTCGCCATCTTTGAATCACCAGTCTCTGCGGAGGCGATAGGCGAGACTCGTTTCTCTCCATCCGAGCTTAAAAGTATTTCCTTGTTGCGCTCACCGCTCATTTGAACTAATAACTCGCGCATGATCCCTTACGGCGGGGATGTGCGCGGCCTTGAGAGCGCCGGTTACTTACAGGTGACCCGAGCCACCCCCGGCGCCGCCAGTTTTGCCCGTAGTTTTCCGGGGAGGAGAAAACTTTCGAATTTAATTCAGTTACTCTCGTCTACTTTGACACGCTCTGAGGCTTTTAAGCAGGATAAAGAGGCGACGTAGAAGGGTAATCAACTCCGGAAGACTTTCCGAAACGTTTGCAAATCGAAATGGGGCGACACGCCCCGCGTTAAAATCGCCTCGCATCATCAATATGAAAATATCTGGAGAGGATGTCCTACGAGGACGGAGGTCTAATTAGCGGCAAATGAAAAGTTACGGCACTTGGGGTTTTTCCTTCTTAGGATATGTTAAACCAGCTCGTGCTGTTTGCCGTGATGTTTGCAACCAACCGAGTAACACCCTTGAAAGGGGATTCGCTACATCATCAATTTGTTGTGGACTGTTAACGCGTAAAATAAACCCAAAGTAAGCCTGTGTGAGCCGAACGATCCAAAGCACCGTAATTTCCCCTTTGCCTAAATTAACAATACACGCTTGATCCGGATATCCCTATGTTGATGTCTCGCATTGTTGCGGCGTCCGGTTAATTTGACGCTAAGGACAGATATCAGAACGATAAATGTTTAGCATTACGAAGCACCGCGTTGTTGCACGCGTCGTCTGAGCGTGTACCGTTGGGTTGTTGTTTTCGAAGGTATGTCGTTGCCAAGTCCCGCTGAAAAGCGTGTTTGCGCTCGCACGCACACACACACACACACACACACACACACACACACACAGAGACAGACAGACACACATATGTACACTCGGAAAATCAGCCGATGAAACTCGGCTTCGATGAAAGTCGATTTCCGCGGCTATTTCCGTAGCTTTAATATTAATTATTAGCTGCGCCGAGGATTTTGCCGCGGATAAAATCATTTATTAATCGGTAAATAATAAACGACCACATATACCGATAGCAGCCCCATTATAGAATCGCTACGTGTGTGTGTGTGTGTGTGTGTGTGTGTGGGCTCCCAATGTAACTGGATAATGGCGTTTCGCCTAAATAAATCTCTCGCTTGACTTCGCCCGCGTAAATAACCGATAATTAACAACGACCGGTTAACGGATCTCCCGCATTATTATTATATAATTTTTACATAAATATATTTTTCGTTTCAATCGAAAGCCTACGAAGGGCGCGTAATTGTTTATATACGCTAAACGTGAAAGAACAGCCGGTCGTACCGTGCAAATATTTAAATAAAAATCTCTGTCGTTATTTCGCTGTTTGTATTCCGTCGAGAGATCGCTCTTCCTCCGATGGATTTTACTCTGTGCAATCTCTTATATTTTTATATTCATTAAGATCTCATTTGGAGTTTTATTGTGCCGTATTTAGAATTATTAAGTTTAATTAAGTTAAGCAACTAGTTTCAACTTTTCCTTTTTAATACCAGCTGAAATTATCTCAGCCTTAGCACATCGAAAGTTAATCAGCTCCGGCGTGTAACTCTTCAATCCTCTTCTTTAATCCTTTCGTTGCCATATTTCTCGGAGTCAGAAACTTGTCCGCCTCGGCTAACTAATTTTAGTACAATTTGAAATTTAATTCTAGAATTTTAAGTCGATTTAAGACCCGAATGCTGACTAACTCAATTTATCAGAATTTATTACGGATGTTGCACACTTCCGGCCGAGTTCGCTTTTTAAAACAGAATTATGAGTGAACCCTACATGTATATGTATATATGTGTGTGTGTGTGTGTGTGTGTGTGTTTGTGTGATTGTATCTACACAATACACAAAGTTAGTCGCGCGGTCTTAATTCATCTAATCGAATTTAGCTGAAATCGTAATAAGTCTCATTAAAAGCGAAACACCCGACACAACTTCCCTCCTTGCGGCACGACGCGCTTCGCCAATCCGATAGACACCGGAGCGTCCATCACCGTGAATAAGTAACGACAAAGGAGCGGTGTGATCCTTGAAGAATTGGAGCTCAACCGAGAACGCGGAACAATAGGAACGGATCGGCCGATCGCGGAATACGTTTAAATATACCTCCGTGCGGGAAACGGAGCCCGAGAGGGGTAGTCTCGAACGCGGCGTGACGGGGGAGGGGGCGAGGAAATAGCAAGGGCAACGGTAGAAATAAAAGTCGAAAGCCTGAGCGAGCGAGACGAGGCTGCGAGGGAAATAAAAAGGAATTGTCACCGTCCGGGTAGCTGCAACCATCCTTGTAACCGCGCCGCCCGCGGCTGTTTTCTCTCTGCGCACCCCCCTCCCCCCGCCCCGTCCACCCCCTCCCACCTGCCAGCCCCGTTGTGCTCTTTACAACCACTGTCATTTGTTTTTACGTTTACTCCTCGTCGTTCTTGAAAACCCTTCGTGAGAGACCCGTCGTACTGCGAGATTTCGTCGAGAAAACGGAAGAAACGAGACTGTCGCGCGGGACATACTACGAAGCTCCTTAGGCGCTCGAGGAATCCGCAATTTTTTGCCGCATGAATATTCATTAACATAAAGTTGGAGTTTTAATCCTAACCGTTACGTCCACCCTAAGAGGATTACCTGCGCGATCGGGCGGTATATCGTGTGCCGCGGACGTCTTTTACGGGTGTGACACGCGATATTGTGTCAAAAAAATAAAGATACATTCATTCTCCGCATCGAGGCTATTTCCGTTGATAATTGCAAAAGCGGAATAGAGCCATTTATTTGCCTCGGGAGACTCCGCTTGGCACTCCGCAGCGTGATCTGCGTCTGGCGGAACGTAGATGCGCACCAGACGTATGATAAAGATCAAATTTGAGCAGAATTATAAAATTTAACGAAATATAATTAAACTCTCTCCCTCTCTCTCTCTCTCTCTCTCTCTCTCTCTAAAATTTGTGAAAATCACGAAATTCGGAGTGAGAACTCAGAAGGAAAATCATAAGTACAGAGAGAGAGAGAGAGAGAGAGAGAGGGAGAGGAGCCTCGTAGATTCGGCTCTATCTACCTTTGCAATTGTCGTAAAAAGGATAATCATTACTCACGGAATGTGAAGTTGGTGGGTTTCACGATCCTCGGGCATACTCTGAAGAGTCCCAGCTTGAACCTCACGCTGACCACATTCGCGAAATTTCTCGGCAGATTCGGCAGGGCGAGCTTCTCCTCGGTGTGGAGCCAGGTGGGACCCAGAAGGGCGGTGCTGAGGGCCGCCAATGCAGCGAGCCCGCATACTACGCCGCACCTGGTCAACCTGATTCCACCTGGACCACCTGAGCAGCACATTTTCGTCTCTCGAGTGGTCCTCAGGGTGACATCGTTAGCGAATCACCTGCTCAATGTGTACAATGAGCCTCGATTTATGCGGCTCGTCCTTGTGACTCTTTGCATGTTCCGGATCTTCCGAGTTTCCTTGCAGCTATCGCGTCGACGTCCTCGTCCTTGCGGAAGCGAGCTTCGTGCTCAATGTTCTCTGGAGCAAGGAACTTTACGGCAGGTCACAGTCTTTCGGCTGTACTCCGTTCCAACATTCACCGCACAATTTGCTTCTTCGTGAAGTTCCCGACGATTTTTATCCCCGTGTCTTCCTTCTATTTTTAACCTAATGCATTCAGCAAAAGTCACACCCTTTCCCAACCCACGCTCGGCTCCACGGGCTCTTTGACAAATCCCTGGATGATATTTGCCTCAGAGAGACCTCTGCTCCGCGAATCGAACCAGAAATTATTATTTATCGTAACGTCTGTAATCTCAAGCGTGAAAACGTGCCAGGAAGGAACTTGATATATCTACCGCGCCAAGGAACAGAGTCTGGGTGGCTTCACGTACACTTTACAAGCGACACCAGGATACTCGCGAGAGTGATACTGCGGCGGCGCAAAAAAATCCTTTTGAAGGGGGGAGGGGGGGGGGGGAGAGGACGACCGTTAATGGATTTCTCGTTATGTGGAGAAACCATTAAAACGTTTGCTCGTTCTCGAAGAAATTAATTCCGATTGCCGTTATCGCAGCGGGCTTGAAAAGAAGCTAGAGAACGACCGTGAGGATGGAAGGGTGGGTCGCCATTATCGCCACCGCATTTTCCGCGTCGGAAGTGGATGGCAGTGAGAGCCTCCGGCTTTTCCGATGATTCTCTTTCCCGTGAAGGGGGTGAAAGGCGAGCATCGCGTTCTCGCATGCGAGCGAAAATAATCCAGCCGGAGGGTGAGAGTAGGAGGGCGGGAGAGCTCGAGTGAGAGAATGCTTACGAAATTTGAATACTTCGGAAACCTTCGATACTTGGCTCTCGAAGGAAGTAATGAGGAAGTATGAAGGAAGTAATTTCAATTTACCGGCTCGGATGAACCTCACGGATTTACAGGGGGGAACTCCGAATTTACAGAATGGCGCCGACACTAACAAGACGCCGCGCCGCTCGGTCCGTGCGTCATCGTCAACCGAGCCGGCCGGAAAACCGCGGAAAAACGCGAGGAACGCTCCCCTCGATTCCGCCGCTAAAATCCCGGCGTCGGCGCTGCTGCAAAACGTATTTTCAGTTTGCCGACAAAAATCACCCGCCGCGGCCGCCGACGCAAAATAATAGCGACAATTACTTCTTGCCCCGCTCGAGCCGAGCGCGGTCTGGTCACGGCGAGAAAAAAAAAAAGCAAAGGTCAGGTGTGTCGTTCGGTGCGCGACGGGACGTGTGTGTGTGTGTGTGTGTTCATATTGACGTGCGTAATACACGGCCGTAATACACGCGCTCGCGCGAGCGATTTACGTCCGCGCTGCAGATGGCAGTTGCAATTACAGCGTCGTTCTTTCAGAGCCGGTCTAATTAATTGAAAAACGGCGTACAGCCGTGACGGCAGTTGCGGAGGGTCCTCGAAAGATTTCCGGTCTTGTTAGGAAGCAGTTTCGAGTGCTGCTTAAGCTTGTTCCACCTCTCTTTTTCCCTTCGACGAAGACCCACCCTGTGCCGCCCTTCGCCGCACCTCCTAAGTATCACGTAATTAAAAGTTCGAATCGACCGCGATTCGCGCCTGACGGAGACCTTCCACCACCTCCCCGCCGACACTTCCCGTACTACGTAATCCAAGGGGGAGAGAATGAAGGTGAGAGGGAAAGGAGGGGGCCAGGGGAGAGAGAGAGAGAGAGAGAGAGACGCTTCCTCAGTGGGTGCATCTTTCTTTTTCCTTCCTTTCGTCCTTTTGTAATTACTCTTTCTTGAGAACTTTGGCCGGTCGGGAATCCAGAAATTCCACAACGGGATTTCTACCCTCTCGTGGCCGGCGAGTAATAGAGAAAAGGGGAGGCCCTGGTGAGATTCGAGAACTCTTTGTCAACCTCGTTCTTTCCGTTCAGTGTAAACAAACGCTCTGATTAGAGTCGCGATCGGTTTGATCCTCTCTCTCTCTCTCTCTCTCTCTCTCTCTCTCTCTCTCTCTCTCAGGTTTAACGCAATAACCGATCTTTGGATATGCGACTCGATAGAATAATTTAACACTTTGGGACCGGTGGGAAAACGCGAGCGCGCGCCCTCTCGATAAGTCTCTCCAGCGGGTAATTTCTGCTTGCCAAATTATCACGCTAAACAATAAATAATAAGCATTAGGTTGAAAACGGATAGCGCTTTGTGTGTGTGTGTGTGAGCGTGCAATATTATATCGTTATAATATTAAAATGTAATACCGCTATGTATCAATATAATGTGACAATTCGCGCTGTGTGAGCGCGAGCGTTATAAGCAAATGCGCTCGTTATAAATCGAGATTGTTACATTAACGTTCCGATATTATCGTTATTATTGCTATTATGTAAATAAGAATAAAATTAACGGAGGAGATTACGAGCGGTACCCGAGCCGGCGGCAATAGCGAGGACTGTTAATTGCGTCCGTGGGAAACCAAAATTTGTGAAAACGTTCGAATGTATTATGATTAACCGCGGCCGATCATCGTCGGGCGAATTCGAAAGAGATTTCATCGACACTTTCAGCCCCGGCCGGCCCCTGTCATAGGCCGGAGCTGTTTTGCTGCAGACGCATTCCGGTAGCGGGATATCCGGTCGGACCAGGGACAATAGTCGATAAAAATGGCTGTCAAATGTTGCGGAGCCGGCAAACAAAACGGCCGTATCGCGTATGTGCGAGCGAGAGTCCGTCCGTCTGTTTTTTCCAAGCCCGGTCCAGCGATTCAGAGGGCGAGTCGCGCGCCGGACGTTCCTGCGGCCCGACGTTGCGCTGAGCTTTTCAGGACTGCGGTAGCCCGGAATTCCCCGCGCGCGCACGGAAGATGGATAGACGGATAAGCAGGGGTGAATACTTCGAGAGAGCGAGAATTCGAGCGCGAGTATTCAAAATCGCACCGCCGTGGTGCTTAAATTCAAGCTCATTTTCAACCGGCTGTCTGCGAGACGACCAGTAGTGTACGATAAATTCCTGTTACCCTGTGGTTACTTTTTCAATCTCGCCCTCACAAGTTGAGTCGAAAAGTCAGAAAATTACTGTAGACCGTGGAAAACTATGCTTCTTGGAGCAGTGAGAATTTTCGTGTTGAGCAGCCTTGTTTGTGCCGCGATAAGTTGCAGCTTGTTAAGTGCCGCGGGCGAGGCTCAAGTATTGCGGGGGGGGGGAGAGGGAGAGGGCTGGAGAAGGAATATTAAGTTGTTTCCTCCAGTTCCGCAAACAACGGTCCCCCTGAAGACACCCCGGTGAGATTTTAGCCGGTAAGAGTCCGGCATAACCCTCGCCTCTCGCAAAGGGCGAGGGTATCCACGAGGATTCCCCTACCGTTATCAAAGAAAAAAAGGCCCAAGTATCGGAACGAGAGGATGACTTTCCGAAAAATCAAAGCGTCACCCTTTCTGCTGGCTCAAGGGGAGCGTTAGGTGCGACACAATGCGAAACACCGCCGATCGAATAACAGGCCGAGTCGGATATCGTGAACGGAGAATTCTGGTATGAATTCGCGGTGTGCATGCATCACTCGAATTGTTATCTTTAATCGCGAAATTCGTAGTACGATGGACGACGGGCGAGATTGGAGTTATCTCGCAGAAATCGCTCAATATCCGAGTCATCCGCCGTATATTCGACCTGTGCAGGAGCTGCACAGGTCTTTTATTTGCCCAATAAACTCCGATGAGTGTCGTCGGACGTTACTGCGCGCGGCACTCTCACTTACACGGCAAAGCGGACATGTAATCTGCCTATGATATGTACATACGGGATAGTATAATAAGGGGAAAATACACAAGTGTGCCACACCCTGTATAACTATCATTAACGAACGATAGCAGGCACGTAGCCGTACTAATTAAGCTCGATCCGGAACACGGCTCGGTTTCAGCGAAACGAGTCACCGTAAAATCGTGCGAGGACGAGCGCGCGCCGGCGCGACGATTTTCACGGTTTCCGCGTCGCGACGAGCGATTTCCGCGTCCGCGAGCTCTAATCAAACCCGACGCGATGCAGCGGCGGAAAAAAAGGGCGTTCGTTAAAATCTCGACGCGCCCGGGATCCGCGCCAATCCCGGACGAATCGCCAAGAGCCAGCGTAATTTCGGTGTCGTCTCGCGGATTTCCCGGCGAGCCCACGGGAAATTACAAATTACGCGTTTTTCAATCGAAAAAACGGTGAGTCGCGCCCGCCGGGAAATGCCGGCGCGACGCGAAAATTTCGGATCAACGGCGCGTCCTCGATCGCGATCGGGAAATCCAGAGGGAAAGGTAGAGCGAGGGGAGGACGCGAGAGCGACAGAGCGTGAGACAGCGAGAGAGAGAGAGAGAGAGAGAGAGAGGGAACAATTTAAAACGATTGCGTCGCGCGGAAAAATATTTGCCTCGCGCAAAACAATTCCCGTTGCGCGAGGAAATATTTACCTTGCATTAGAACGATTTCGCGGTGGACGAATGTTTTAGCACTTTCGAGAAGGATCGAGTTGCACGCAGTTTTCAAACGCGAGGTAGGATATTTTACGCGTAATGTATATTTCGTTGCGCGTAACAAATATCTTCTCCCTTGCGCTAGTGAACATTTTTTGCTGTACATATTTATAGAGGAAAAATAGAGAGAGAGAGAGAGAGAGAGAGAGAGGGCACGTTTGTACTGTAAGTAAGCACCGCCACTTAATTTCGACGCGTACAATTTTAATCTCGCCATGAAAGTTATTTCATTTGCTCCTCGAGCAGTTAACCGTTGATTAACTCTCAAACGTAGCGTTCGCAACGCGACGCTACTATCGAACGCAGATGAGACATTAAGCGCGCCGTTGTGCGTTTCGTGGCGGTCGAGAAAATATCTGCTGCTTAATGTGTGACGGGCGAAAAAAAAGCGCTGGGAAAAATTTGGTGTTGCTGAGCGCGCTTCCGCAATTCAGGCCACTCCGTACATGTCTCTTCGAAGTCATTACCGACGTGTCAGTGTCAGACGACCGTTCCTCCAACCCTCCTGAGCGGAAAAAGCGGAGGGCGCCATGCGCGATATTTTTCTACTGTCACGAGCGACCGCTCGTCCCAAATCCTGGACAGGACCATAGGGTCCTGGCGAGCAGTGCGCGGATTAGGGTGTGTTCCGACCGCGAGATTATGCGGGAGAATCCGAGCCTCCCAATGTGTCCGAGCCTAAGAATGTCAACGTTGTTGACGAATCGGATAAATATATTCGCCGTTTTATTTGCAGAGCGCGAAAGTAAAATTTAACAATCGCGCTGAAAATAGCTCGAAAATGTACGCGAGCATCCCAGAGCTAAAAGATCCACCGAGTCCAAAGTGTAACGTACAAATACCGGGACAAATGTTAAGCAATGCAAAGCGGACATTTACGTTAAATAGATTGGTGAATTTGATGAGATTGGTGGTGGGAGGATAAGCAGAGCGCTTGAAACGAAAATCTTCGACATGACGAAGCGACGTGACGCCGAGGAATCTTCGGAAGAAAGATGCGAAACCATGAGAAACAATCGGGCGATTCGCGCTGGATTAAGTATCTCGGCGGAACAGTTGTGAGTTTCAGCGGGATCCAAAGACGCAAAGCTGCAAGTACTCGGCAAATATTTGAGGGGAACGACTTAGCGCAAAGTCGAAGGATCAGCCAACATTTAAAGGAAACGAATCAAATACGTAAAGCCCCAAAAGCGTCCTCCGCTCTCTCTCTCTCTCTCTCTCTCTCTCTCTCTCTGAAGTGCGGAAGTGGAAAATACAAAAATTACAGAACGAAGCCGGCGGATATTCATCGCGCGGCGATACGTTTTCCGAGGCTTCGAGGTTGAAACTTTGAGTTTCGTAGCACTAATGACTCGTGTTAATAAGCGGATTATGCCCGACGATCCGTCTGACTCGGAGCGATTCCGCAAATTACTGCGATACGAAATTACTGGGATATCGTCGCGAGCCAATCACGCCGCCAGTCACCGTAGACGCCGTGGCTGATGAAGGACATAAGGATTAGGAATACAGAAACTCGAGTATCCGGCCTCGAGGAGACTCAACTCGCACTGACAGCTCAAATATTACACCGTCCCGCGGGCTGCTGTGTCAACGGCATTAATAATCCGCGTCTGCGGCCTCTCGAGTTATCTCGGATGACGGTCTCTTCCGGAGACCTAAGAGTCGCCGATTACTCCCCGTCCGCGAGCGATCGGCGAACGTGCGAATTGGAAAACGGTGCCGCTCCGAGCCGCGTGAAGAACCCACCTCCTGCAGGCCGTAACGCAGGGACATCTGGATTCTCGCGAGTTCTTCGGCGTATTATTAATAACGCCAGCGATGCATGTTGCTCGAAATCCTTGACGACGCTCGACGACGCGTTCACTGGAGTGCTCACGAGCGGAATTGCTCGGCTTATCACGTCGCGAGGCGATCACGTAGCCGCCGCGGTGTTTGCGAGCGATACGCACGCGCGCGTGCACGTGTCCTGCGGAGCGGAGCACACAGCGAGAAAAGTTGCTGACCCCTGCGGAGCCATCGCGTCACACGAGAGAATCATCCGATAATCGGCCACAATCGCGGAACTCGACGGCGTCGACGCGGCACGGGCTACCTCGAGCTGCTATGTTCGATCCGCTCGACGGCTGGTAGCGTACTGGCCCTTCGTAAATGCACGCCTCCACCGAACGACGCTGGGCGAACGTCGCGACGGCAGCGGAAGAGGGCGGAAGCGGCGCCAAGAGGGGGTGGGTATGATGCCAAGAGGGTGAGCGTCTCGCTCGGCGAGACCGCATCATCATCGCGATTTTTGACGGCGACTTTTACGAACCGTCATGGACGGGGGGCTTCGGCCGCAAAATTCTTCGCCGAGTTTTTCACGCCGATTTTGCACGGCGCGAATGTGAGATGGCGCAAAGGCGCGCGGATTTTTATACGCCCCGCACGGTGGAAGCGAGGGAATGAAACGAGCCCTGGGAATTATTTCAAGCGTTGCTGAAACAGTAAGATACACTGACAACCCAGAGATCCAGAGATGGAATATATTTAGAATAATAATTCAGGATCAAGAGTGAAGGATGTTTAGAATTTCGAGACGAAGGAGCTCTCGCAAAGTTGAAGCGCAAGTTGTTCGCGAAATATCGAGCGCGAGAAGATATCTACGTCCTTTCGGCGATTTTGCAAAATTACGCGTAACCGTGAAATCATCGCCGGTCTTAATTCGATACTTTTAACGGTCAGCAGGTCGCTCGAAACTCCCACGAAGATCCTACGAGGACGCAAAAGTTCAGTATATAAATGGGGCAACAGCTCGAGTGCAATTTTACAAAATTACAAAAGAGAGTCACGTCGAAGTAATATCGCTTATCGCGCCGGAAGAAGAGAAAATTTCGCAGTAGGCAGGGAGCAAATTTAGCGATGGTACGGTAAATAAAATAACGCGTTGAACGTAAGCGAAGACGTATGTACCCCGGGGAATCCCGGTCGCACATACCGCCCCTCTCCCCTTGTCCTTGTCTCGCGTCTCCTCGCGTCTGGCAAAGTCGGCGAGCACCGTTATAGAGCGAGTTATTATCGATGTCGCGACGTTTATTATTATTAATGGCGGCGCGACAAAAGTTTCCTCGCGAAATCTCGCGCATCCGTCATATCGATGTCTCGTCCATATATCTGGATGTCCCGATATGAATGTTCCGAGTCAATTTCGTGCTGAGAAATCTCAGCTTACTTTTACTCTCGATCGCTGTCAGTTATTGATATAACGATGTGCGCACCGGCGAAACTTTTCAGCAGTTCTTTGTGCGGTGCATCAGGACGATCTGACGTGTTTCTCCTCTCCGTCGTTTTCTCCTCGGCTCTCTTTTTCTCCGAAAAGTAAAACTCTACGCGATTTCGCTCTATGCAATTTCGCGAAAGAGCAATATTTACAACCGTTTCTTCTCTTAATTCAATTTTGGCAATCCGACAACATCGAAATTTCATTACGTAAATATTGATGTTACACAGTTTCGGCAAAGTTTGTCCGTTTAATTTTAATACGTCCCAAATGGAACTCGCAAATTTCAAGCCACCGCGTATATTTTTCGCGCCTGACACACTTTCGCGAATTTCGGTATCGGGGACTTCTAATGTGTTAAACAATTTCAACGAATGGAAGTCATATCTATTTATCATATGATTAATTTAATTTATTGCCCGACTACATTATTTGTTTAATTAATTGTTCGCTCGCGCCGGTGTGCACCCAGTGACAGATATCGCGGTGTATCGACAGCCATCGCGGACTTTACACCGCTAATGTACATACGTGTAAAACTTTCGCAATAATTACCGCCCTCCAATGTCCTCATATTTCTCCTCGCCTCTTACCTTTCATTTTTTTCACAGGTTCCTCGAGAAGAGATCCTCAAGAGGCTTCGTATATTTTTCGTCACTTGCAAGACTTTTCTCGCTCGGAAATCGAAATCCTTAAACCTTTGCCTATTGCAGCTCGGCTGGAGAAGCACGACGCTTTCAAAAAGTTAATGCACAAAACAAGGTCGGCTGGACGTGGAACCTTCATCGCAAAGAAGTCTGATTAACGCGCAAGGGCCCGCGAAAGTTTGCACAAATTTTTGGCAAAAAGGCGCGAGAGACGCCGATATTTAAAGTTTCGCCGCAGCGCTAAAAAGAAAGAGACCCAAGAAGCGAAATTAGCGAGCAAGTCGTCAATAAATTCGAAGGCGGCACGGCGCGGAGCGTGTCCGATGGACGTTATTAATTTCTAACGAGCAAGTAATCGGCCGAAACTTCTTCAAACTCGTTCTCGCGGATCCGGAAAGCTGCAGAATTAACTCCGGAAATTCCTGGCCGCCCTCCGCAGTGATGTATTAACAATTTAACGAGTCGACACCTGCGATGGCTATTATAGCGCAATTATATGGAACGCGCGGCTCGTGCCGCCAGCTTGGACTACGAAGGACACAGCATAATCCCGGCCGGATCTAAGGATCCCAGAAACCAAGGATTTACATGTCATGAAGTTAAATTAAATAAAATTCATTTGTGTTTCTCAACATCGTAACAGTAGTACAATGTTGCGCTACAAACAGCGTCTTCGTCGTGAAATACGCCAGTTTTTACAATTGTCCCTCGAAATACCCTAAAATACCAAGGACTTTTACATCGTGAAGTTTGAACGCGCAAGCTTTTCGCTTTTTTAATAACATCATTTAGCTGTAAAAAGTATGTAAACACCAACACTTTTACATCACTAAAGTGTCTAAAGACCTTAAGCCCTCCAATTGTTTTTCTTTTGTCGTTTCGAAAGTTTCGAAAATACCTAAGGAGTCCTGAGAATCCAAAGCTCTCGAGGTCCTAAGTTTCAATATACGAAAACTTCAAAAGTCCGAGAATTCAGAGTTCTCAAGTACACAGTATGTTTAAGCTTTTGCTTTTCGGATTTCTGTGTATTTCGAGAGCCTTTAATTTTAAACTTACAGTCCCACGAATACTCGGATCACAAAATTCATTCTCAGCTGAAAAAACTTTAAATTCCGAAATCTCACGGTCACAGGGATATGTCGAGCTTCGTTGGTATTGAAATACTCGGGAGGAGGGAAAACTGTTCAAAGACGAGGACGCCCACGGAGGGGTGAATGTTAGGGGGTTAGGCAAGACGGCAGTTCAGTTTCAGTGGCAGGGTTATAAAAAGTAGTAATTCGCATGGGGTTCATAAAAATGTTTATCACCATCAATAAAAGGGCTCCCTGGGCGGCGGCACACTCGGCTCGGTGTCTTTTCTTCGGTATGTCTTCTTCGCGGAGAAGCTAAAAAGCGGGGACAAAGCATCCGCTGATTTTAACGGCGAAACAGTCGATAAAATCTGTCTGGCTATTGTTGTTACTTTTGCAAAGATCTCGACGTTAAAAAATTATTTAATTAACGGGGCAGCACGATTTGATTAACATATCTGTTATGTTAAAAATTATTAGAAATCACATAATAAATTTACGCATACGTGTAACAGTGTTTTTATGAAAATTAAATTACAAATTCAGCGCGATAATATTACTTTCATATTCATGATGTGAATTAAAATTTAAATTATATTTATAAAGCAAAGGTATATACGGAGTGTTCGATATAATGAATCGCGCAATTTTTTAAACGCTTTCGGCACTTAAGGTTGTAAAGTGAACATTCATCTATTTCATGCAGGCTGTCACTTGCGATAGAAAAATTTGAAAAAAAAAATTTATAAAAAGTCTATGTTGTCTTGAATTTTTTTTTAAATGACACTATTTTTTATTCGTATTATTGTAAGAAATTTTAAGACGAATTCTGCGTATATTATTTTTATTCATATTTAATACTAAATTTGCGACGTTATTTTAAATAGCAATACTTATAAGCTTTAACTAGAAATGTATGTAGAAACACCGCAAGTTGCTCGAGAACCATTTTTGCAGTAAACATAATATTCATCATGGATAATGATCAGTATTTTGTGAGTTTTCTTCCGAAGTTGATATTAATCGTTGTTTCAATAGCAGGAATGAATTGTTACTCTAATTTGGGAAAAATTGACATGCTACTGATATTTTATAAATGTAGAAAAAATTCCCATTGTAGTATTACATAGACAGCGGTATCCAGATAGAAATCATCCATCAGAGAAAACTTTTAGAAATATTAAACAACAATTTTGGGAACTGAAAAATTTCCTGATGAGAAATGTCAAAGTCATGTAGTTGCGAACGATAATAATTTTGTAACAGTATTAGCAGTATTTTCACATAAATCCACATATGTCGATTCGCGCTGTTGGAAGTGTAGAACGCCAAGTGTAGAACATAGAACAACAAAAGATAATAAATATTATCCGTTTAAATTGATTTTAGTATTGCATTTACGTTCGACTGACGAGGTACGACATTTAAAATTCATAACAGGCTTGCTATTGTTTATATGAGAAAAATTCTTGGATCGAATCATATGGACAAATGAATCATAATTTGTATAACAGTATTTTCAAAAATGTAATCTCGATATTTCTACTCTTCGGGCAGTGCGGGGAATTCGTTCTAAAATTCTCTACAATGTTATGAAGAAAATTGCATAGTGCCATTTAAAAAATTCAAATTGATTGAAATTTTTACGAAAAATATTTCCAATCCTTTTATTGCAAATAGTAGTAGTTTATATCAAACGTATGAATGTTCACCTCACAACCTTTTCTGTAAACTACCAAAAGAGTCTCAAAAATCGTGAAGACCATTACGCTAAACACCCTATAAAAAATATACACACACACACACAGTGTTTATAATCATAAAAATGTTAAATTTCTATTAAGACCAGAGTATATAACGTAACATTGTCGAATCATTCACATAGAATTATAAAATAGAGTTTACCTGTGTATATATCCTCAGAATTTTGAACCCTAAAACTTAAAACTAAAAAAACTTAAAACTAAACTTGAAACTAGGAGAATTGGTTTCAAATTTAGAGTATAAAGAATTCCCTGGCGGTCACCATGCAAGGATCGATGGGGCCGAAATCGGAAAAGCGCTAGCAACCTCTGGAGCGTCTTGTTATTCCCGAAACTTGACTTCCAGTACGGCAAGCTTCTTGGCACGTCCTTGCCGCAAACAAGCCTCTTTGCCACCGAAACGAAGGCTCGAG